GACCCTGGCTTGATTACATAGGACCTGTAAGCAAGTAGTTTAATACAAATGCTGCATTAGCAAAAGGAGTCGCCTATCAATGTTAACCACAAGAGTTAAGGAAAATTGTCAGAAGGTAGCATGGGGATGATATTTAGCACTGGTAAAGATGAATATATTAAATAAGAATGTCATCCCTGTGTTGGAGATGCAAAAAAGAGAAAGGGACATATTTGCACATGTAGTGTTCATGTGATACAAGGAGAAAAGAATGGACACAAATTTTCAAATAAATTAGGGAAATAACTGTATTTCATATCCAAATGTCCCCATTGACTGCTTTAATGAACACAATTAATGATAGTCAACTGAAGGGAGAACAGAAGGATTTAATTATTATAATGGTCACAGTGGCAAGATTATTATTTGTAAATAATCGGAAAAGTTGTAACTAAATTAATATTGAAGAATGGTACAGAGGAATGTGGGAAATGGCAATTAAGGACAAACTGACTTGTGAAATGAAATTAAGAAGAGGTTGATCAAAAAGGACCTAAAGATGGAGTTTATTTCTGGAATATGTGATTTGGAAAGGGAGTGGGGTATACAACGGGAGAAGAATCAATATGTTTCTTGAGAGAAAGTGTGTGGAATGAAATGTAGAAATAGTAAAAGTAGAACCTAGCTCTGAAGGTGGAGGTGGCACAGGTGAAGCAATGTGTTTAAGAGAAATGAATTAATGTAACACAATGTAGAAATGTTTTTGGTTTGTTGCTTTTGATATAAAATAAAAATTTAAAAATAATATAATGCATATGTTTATAATATGATGCCCCATGCCCTCTTCTTTTCTGAATACAGCTTGAATATCTGGAAAAAAAGATGAAGGGAATCCAGATCCAGATGGAACGTCATGCCATTGTGGAAGGAGAGTAGATGAGGAAGGTCCGGGAGCCGAAAGTGACTCACAGCCATCTGAAGCAGAGGGGCGAACCAGGGCTGGTGAGGCCACCGGGGAGCGATGAAAATGGCATTGGCTCAGTCTTGGCGAATCTTGATGATCGCTTTCTGGATCAGAGGTATGGGAGGAAACATGTACAGGAGTCCTTCCATCCAGGGGACCATGAATGCATCCCCCTCTGAGTGGCTCCCCGCCCCTGCTCGGGAGCAGTACCTGTAGCATTTGCTGTTAGTGACAGAAACAAATACATCAAGTCACGGAGTGCCCCACCTTTGACAGAGGGAGTGGAAGACCGCATCGTCCAGAGACCACTCGTGAGTAAAGTCCTGGGACCTGCTCAAACGATCCGTAAGGAGGTTGTCAGTGGAAGCTACATGCACTGCAATCAGGAAGATATGGCGAACATAGCACCACTCCCAGATCTGGACTGTAAGATACAGAAGTCGCTGGGAGTGTGTACCTCCCTGCTTATTCAGATAATACACCACCATGGTATTGTCGGATGTCACCTGCACCACCTTCCCCGTGAGGAGATGCTCGAATGCCCGAAGGGCCTTGAAGACAGCTAGAAGTTCCAGAATACTGATGTGAAGAACAGCTGCTTCTGGAGACCAATGATCATTGACTGTCAGATCCAAGATGTGTGCTCCCCAACCAGTCAAGTTGGCATCTGTGGTGAGCTGGATCGAAGGCTGGAGAGAGTCGAAGGGTCTGCCCACTAGAAGATTCGAGCGGAGGGACCATCAGGTTAGTTGCTCTGCCAACTCCCTTGAGACTGTAAGAGTTTTGGAGGGTGGGTTGACCAGAGGATTGAACAACACCAGGTACCATGCTTGAAGGGAGCGCATCTTCAACCTGGCATGTTGAATGACCACCGTAGTGGAGGCCATGAGGCCTAACAGGCGCTGTATAAGTACTGCCTGAACCTTTGCTCCTGGAATGAAATGAGGGAGTAACTGATGAATCTTCAGGATGTGTTTTTTGGGAATGAAAGCATGGGCTGAGTCTGCATGTAGGACCCCACCAATGTAAGTTACAATCTGGGTAGGGGTCAGTGTGGACTTTTCTTGATTGAGCTGTAAGCCACCACCAAGAGGCTATGGCTCTAGCCTGTCAGGAGAGGGTTACTTTGCCGTGGCAGGCCATGCAACATTTAAACAGCGCTTCAGCTGCCATACACACCCCAAACAGACAGTTCTATTCTTCAAATCCAACTCACGATCAAAGAGAGTAGTCAATGTAGTCCGAGTCAAAATGAGGGAGGTCTGATAATGATTGATTTAGGAAAAGGAGAAAACACTGAAAAGCTCCGAACTATGCTGCTGCAGCAGTGGCAGGAAATGGAACTGGGGCACTGAGTGTCGGGGGGAAGCGATATAACCTAGGTAGGAGGTCCCCGGCACTTAGTGCTTAAAGCTACAAAGTTTCCAAAACTGCTCTGCTCAGGCACAGGTTAACCCATTAGTGTGCATTCACAGAGACCACGAAGGAGAACTATGTGGTCTACAAATGTATTAAGCCCACAATAATTCCTATTTATACTACTAATAAACTTCAGTTGGGATCTGCCCCATTGAGCATAGGTAAAGGCTCAATGCTCTATGTGAAGCGAAATCAGAGTAAGGAACACTCTCATTTAGTTCCTCTATTCACTGTAATGGGAACAGAAAACATTCATCTTGCTCATGATAAACATGCAATCTTTATACAGCAATTTCTATATGATGAGAAAGGTATCTCACATATATGTGGTCCTGCACACACTAAATATGTAGTTCCATTCAGTATTTTTCAGAGAATGTTTTCTGTCAAATAACAGAATAACATACACCCTCTGTTTATTGCATGGGCTTTGATATACAACATTAAACAACCTTCTAATCACATCAGTAATATGCCTTTGGTGCAATCCCAAGTACAGTAACTGGCTGTATGTTCACTCAGCCTTCCATCCTTTCAAGGTCAGTAAATTGAGTACCCAGCAGCACACTTTTTGCTTTGCTTTTGGTAAAGGTTCGACTCTAGAGCGCGGTGCTCATCCCCATCTCCAAGCCGTAGAGCCAGCATTTGTCCGTAGACAGTTTCCATGGTCACATGGCCAGCGCGACTAGACATGGAACGACGTTATCTTCCCATTGTGGTGGTACCTATTTATCTACTCGCATTTACATGCTTTCGAACTGCTAGGTTGGCAGAAGTTGCTTTTGGTATCCAGTTATTAATCAAACAAACTAGAACAGAGTCTCACATTTTCCTCCATAGAAACATGACAATGTGTGGAAAGATTTTATATGTCAAATAAGATACATGTATGAAGAAACAGCATTTATATAATTGCCTACTAGTTGTTTCACTCACTTCCATCATCTTGTATAATTCTAAATATTTGCTTAATGATCTTAAACATCTCCTTAATGGATTTTCTTGTGGAAATTATCAAAAAAAAAATGGTTGTTGTAGTTTTTTGGGGCTGTTTGGCTATACCTCACTTCCATCATCTTGTATAATTCTAAACATTTGCTTAATAATCTTAAACATCTTCTTAATGGATTTTCTTGCGGAAATTATCAAAAAAATGGTTGTTGTAGTTTTTTTGGGCTATTTGGCTATACTGTTTGGCTATACATGGCCAAACAGCCCGCAAAACCTACAACAACCATCTAATACCGGCTGTGAAAACCTTTGAGAATACATCAAAAATATATTTTTAGAAAGACTTAGGAATTACGCTATTTCTGCCTCTGGTACTTTGGTTGTAAAACAATTCTAAATACAGTGGTGCCCTGCATAGCGACAATAATCCGTTTTGGAAAAATCGTCGCTATGTGGAATCGTCACTATACGGAACATAAAAGCCCATAGGAATGCATTAAAACACGTTTAATGTGTTCCTATGGGCAAAAAACTCACCGTTATGTGAAAATCCTCCATACGGCCGCCATTTTCGCTGCCCGGTAAGCAAGAAATGGGTGCGAAAACACAGCGGGCGGCCATTTTTTTAACCCGGTGGCCATTTTGGAACCGCCGATCAGCTGTTCTAAAAACATCGCTATGCGAAAATCGGTAAGCGAAACAGCTTACCGATCACCGCAAAGCGATGTTTTACCATTTAAAACATCGCAATGCGATCGCTTTTGCGATCGCAAAAACTTAATCACTATGCGTATTCGTCATTAAACGGGGTGCCCGTTATGCGGGGCTCCACTGTATGCTTATCATCTGAAATATGGATATCTGACAGAAAGAGAGATATTCTACAAACACATTTATTTTGGAACTTCTCACTGAAAGTGCAATTCCCCGCAAAGCGATGTTTTACCATTTAAAACATCGCACTGCGATCGCTTTTGTGATGGCAAAAATTTAATCGCTATGCGGATTCGTCGTTAAACGGGCCACCCGTTATATGGGGCTCCACTGTATGCTTATCATCTGAAATATGGATATCTGACAGAAAGAGAGATACATTTATTTTGGAACTTCTCATTGAAAGTGCAATTCTCCAATAAAACAGCCCAAGATAAAGCTGCAAATCTTTAGGCAATAAGTGATTTATATCTATGTTTCCTTAATGTTTACACTCAATCTAACCCTTGTTATTGGTTTATTCTATAAAAATGAACAAGTTTTCTCTAGATAAAACAATACATAAACAGTCAAACTTTAAAAATAATGTGAACAGAACACCAACATATGGCATGGCGCCCCTCCTATATATTCCCTAACCTCATTATATCCTCCAAAGGAGACTTTATGGACTGTTGTTGTTAAGTGTAGTCAAGTAGAAACTCACCTATTGTGATCCTAACAGGGTTTTCAAAGTAAGTGTGATATTTAAGGATTGGTTTTACCAGGTCTACTCCCCCTGTTAGTTTCCATGGCTGAGTGGGGATTACAAACATGTTCTCCAGAGTCCTAGTTGACTCTATCCACTATACCACACTGTGAGCCATTTGGGATATTCCTGCAAAAGTGCACACATAGTTCTTTTCGGGTACACAAAACAAGCTGGTTCATTGGATTCTGGTCCAGCATCTTATCTTTGAGAATTTTCACATACCTTTTGAGCAGCAAGATGGAGCGCTGTCCTCCGATTATGATCAGCTTTATTAAGGTCTATTCCTGTTTTCAACAAAGCCTCAGCACAGTCTAACCTGTCTGCCAAGACACAGTACATGAGTGGTGTTCTCCCAAATTGATCCTCCTTATCTTTCAGGTCAGGGTTACCTACAATAATAAAAGGAATAAGATTGTTGCTTGTACTGAAGCTTATTTATATATTATAGATCTGAGAAACATCAACGCACTGGCTGAATGTTTACTTCTCTTATATTACTAGCCCTAATAGCAGACTAGGAAAAAAACATACAAAAACACCAGTCTGGGATTAAATTGCATGTTTAAGAGCAGAAATCAGGAAGTAAAGCTTTTCAGGCCATGAAGATAAAAATTATTATCTACTTTGACCACTGAGCTGCTGTTAAAGGCATAATACAGAAACTGATAACTAAAAATGGTGCATTTTAGTGCTGTTCTGTGATAATAGAGGAAGTTTACGATAGACAAGAAGGGTACGAAAGATAGATGAAACCAATTACAATCATGTTAAACATTCAACGGTATCAAGTAAGTGTTTTCCAGAACTGCACCTGCTCCAAGGGCTTGAACATTAGAATGTTATTCCAAGGAATAAAAACATACTTCCTGAATATATATAAACTGCACAACAGGGAGACAGCTAAGCTGTACCATTCCTTCTGATGCTTTCCTTATGTGACCTAGGAAACTACTTTCAATGAGTAAGAATTCAAACATGCACTCCCCTTGCTAAAGAAGGTATTGCTTAGCAAAAGCTTGGTTCTGCTAGACAGCTACACTTGCCATCAGGTTCTTTCTTCAGAGGAGTAGCTGATCTAATTCTGTAGTCTTTTACAGCAAAACCAGAAAAGACTCTTAGGACACATTAAAGATTAACAAGTTTTATTTGGCACAAAATTTTGTGAACTGCAGCTCATTTCTTCAGAGGCATGCATCTTTCTTACTGGAAGCTTAAGCGAAATCACATTTGTTCATCTTTATGGGTCCACAAGGGTCTCTTCTGGTTGTAGTGGTGTTTTTTTTAAAAAAATAACTATTAGGCAGGTAAACAAAAGTGAACAAATATAAAAAGTAGAATACTTTAAAATCATGAGATTCAACTGTTTAGCAAAGATAGTCAAAATTTAATGTAATCCAAAGAGATTTCTACAGTTTCATCTGTTGTGCAGTTCTGAAATGGAACCATGAAAATAGATGGATTAACTTTGATTTTCCTTCTGGGAAAGGATCACAGAATATAGTGTTATGAAAGCAGATGATAAAGGGAGTAACTGGAAGGCTCTGTCTTTTACATCAGTGATGCAACCATTTAGGACTATGGTTATTTCTTTGAGAATGTATTTATACTAATTGGGAACTACGAGTCATTACATTTTCTAGACCTTTTGGTTACATATAATGCATATAGTGTATTTGCAAGATGTAGATAATATGGAAAGATCTATGCACTATGAAACATTATATATGCACTACAAAAGGTCCAGAGCGCTTCATGACTTTTAGTTTTAACTCAATTTACTGGATGGCCCTAGCCAATTCACTGACTCTTAAGTCCTGTCCTCCATTATCAGAATTTGTCAGCAATAATATTGGCCTTGAAAATTGTTTTTAAAGATCACCATGGGAAGTGCTTTGAACCTTTAAGGAAAAGTTGAGAGTTATTATTAAATGTAAAACTTTTCCACCCCTGGACTAGAACTTGGCAAACAATTTTACCTTACTAGTAAGCTAACAAAATTCAAATAATTTCAAATGCCAATCATACTGAACATACAGTTACACAACATCTCACATTGTAAACCATTCTATGACTTTATAAAAATTAGAAACATCATAAAAATACTTTAAATAAAATAATAAAGAACTGTCTTATACTTTTTCCAACAAACCCTTCATAGATTAACATTGTTGTTATGTGCCTTCAAGTTGGTTCCAATTTACAGCAACTCTAATAGGGTTTTCAAGGTTAGTGAGATATTTAAGAAATAGTTTTACCATAGATTAGTTTTTTATAGTAGTAATATTTATGAGTGAACTAAACACACCTTGGAAATCATATGTTAAGCTATCTGTACATCTGAACTGTTAATTAGTTGTGGGGCAAAATAAAAGAAACAAACAACAAACAATTATTCAGTGCACTTAAAATGGAGTGAAAGTATACCTTAAATTATTCTTGATGGAGAGTATTCATTATGGTGCTCATAGAAAATCTCTCTGCTCACCTGAAGAAAACAACATTTCTACCAACAACTGAGAAGCAGACTACATTTCTCATGTTTATAACTAAAGCAGTTTTCTTAGATTGGTAAACTAAGTAGGGCTGGGAAAATATTGTCCAACTTCTTGTTCTTCAGGAAACTATTTCTGCCATCAGAGAAAGACAGGTTACTTACCTGTAACCATGGTTCTTCAAGTGGACCTCTGTGAATTCACACAATTGGGTTTAGACTGCGCCTGCCCAATTCTAGAGCTTTTTAAAAAAAGTAACAAAGTTGCCCCTACAGCGCATGCCCCGCCCGCCTCAGCCCTCAGCTCCATTTATCCGCCACCATAGCATGTGCTTAGTATAGACAGAATCAGTGACGGATAGTGGGGAGGTTGGGCGGGATGTGTGAATTAATAGAGGTCCCCTTGAAGAGCCATGGTTACAGGTAAGTAACCTGTCTTCTTCGTGGCCTCTGTGAATGCACACAATTGGGTAACTAGCAAGCTCACTTACCGGAAAGAGGGCCGTCACTCTAGAACGGAAGTCAAAACTGCTCTTCCAAACTTTGCCTCCTTCTTGGCCCAAGGTTCCAGCCTGTAGTGTGTCACAAAGGTGGACGCATTAGACCACGTAGCCGCTCTGCAGATATCTGGAACATCCACACCACACAGTAATGCTGTAGATGTTACAATGGCTCTGGTGAATTGTCCTTTCAATCCTTCTGGAGGACTCTTACCATCCAATTTGTATGCCAGAGTAACAGTGGAGACAGGCCACCTAGAGATAGTTGATGAGGAAGGAGTTGAACCTTTATGTGAGCCCTGAAAACAGAAGAATAATCTTGGAGAGACACGAAAGTCCTTAGTTCGGGAAGTGTAATATGCCAAGGCTCTACGAACATCTAGCGAATGGAGCGGCCGTTTAATTTCCAAAGAAGGTTGAGGAAACAACGTTGGCAATGTCAGAGGTTGATTGAGATGAAAGTCGGTGACAACCTTAGGTAAAAATGAGACGTCAGGATAAAGAATGACTTTATCTTTAAAGAATTGCAGATAAGGAGCGTCAGATCGAAGAGCTGCCAATTCACTTGCCCTCCTAGCAGATGTAATAGCCACAAGGAATAGTCTTAAATGACAGTAGGCGGATGTCACAGGAGGCCATAGGTTCAAAGGGATGGCGCATAAAAGCGCGCAACACGAGCTGAAGAGACCACTGAGGTACAGGAGGTTTGACTGGTGGTCGAATATTAGAAAGACCCTTTAGAAAGGACTTGAGAGTTGGGTGAGAAAATAGTCATGCTGAATCCAAATCTCGAGGCTGAAAGGAGATAATTGCCAAAATGCAGACCTTCAGAGTGGACAAGGCCAGACCTGCATCAAACAAATACCGTAAGTATGTGAGCAGGATTTGAAGTGAAATTGGTGAAGGCTGCAACCCTCTGGATTGAGCGAACTTTGTAAAGTTGTTCCATTTATATTTATAAAGGATGTTAGTGGATGGTTTTTCTCAGCTTGTCTAAGACCTATTGGATTAAGGGATGAGTCTCCATGCTGTCAGATGCAGTGACTGCAAGTCTGGATGGAGGATGTTGCCTGAGTTCTGGGTGAGCAGATGTGGGATGAGTGGCAGCCTGAGAACATCTGAAGCCATTGCTCTGAGAGTGGAAAATCATGACTGACGAGGCCACCATGGTGCAATGAAGATGGCATCTGTCCTCAGCTGTCGAGCTCTGACTAAGGTTCTCTGTATGAGCGGTATGGGAGGAAAAAGGTAGAGAAGATCCATCTCCCATCGAATCATGAAGGCATCTCCTAGTGAGCCCTCGCCTCTGCCCAAACGGTAGGCATACTTCCTGCTCCTTCTTGTTGTTCTTTGTTGCAAACATATCTATTTTGGGATATCCCCAACATTTGCAAAGCATTAGATAAATGCCTCTGTCCAATTCCCACTCATGGGACTGTATCGTTAGCCAGCTCAGTTTGTCTGCCAGCTCGTTGTTGTTCATTGAGACATGAAGAGAAACTGGGAAAACATGATGGTCGTAGCGCCACTCCCACAGATGTATTGAGAGGTACAGGAGAGACATGGAACGTGTCCCTCCCTGTTTGCTGATGTAAAACACGGTCGTGGTGTTGTCGGTTATAACTTGAACACCCCAACCCTGTATCAGTGGGAGGAATGCGCAGAAAGCCTTTATGACCACCAACATCTCTAGATAATTGATGTGGAGATGTTTGTTGTGTTCGGACCATAGAGCACGTATTTTGTGGGGTCTGCAGTGTGCTCCCCAGCCCATGGGGCTGGAATCTGTAGTCAGCTGAACCGAGAGATGCAAAGGATGAAACGGGCAGCCGACTAGAAGGCATGGCAGAAACGTCCACCACCTCAGTTCATTTGCTAATTCTCAGGTGACATGTAGTCGTTTCCGTGGGCTGTCTTGTAGGGGGTTGAATAGAGCCAAGAACCACGCCTGAAGGGAGTGCATTTTCAGACGTGCGTGTGTTAAAGCACATCTGGTGGAGGCCATGAGGCCAAGCAGATGCTGAGTATGACGAGCTGAGATTATTGAGTGTGGATGAAATTTGCGAACTGCCTTGTGCAGCTTCAGGATGTGGTTTGGTGGGAGCAAAATGCGCACCCTGATGGAGTCCAGTCTGGCTCCTATGTAGTCGACCACTTAGGATGGAATCAGGTGCGATTTCTTTTTGTTTACTGTGCGGCCGAGGTTCTCCAGGGTGTGAAGGATAAATTTGGTACCCTGAATGGTCTTTTGTCTGGATGGAGCTACCACTAGCCAGTCGTCTATGTATGGAAAGACTGTTATGCTGTGTAGACAAAGAAAGGCTACTACTGGAGCCATGCACTTTGTGAAAGTGCAAGGAGCTGTGGGCAGTCTGAAGGGAAGGGCACAAAATTGGTA